AGGATCGACTCTAATTCTAGCATAGTGTCAGTGAAACGCACGTGATGTGGCCTCCTATTTGTCAAACTTCCAAGGAGGATTTTAGTAACTAAATTGTTACAGCCGGTTACATGTGTACTAACGTGTGGGTCCCGATTCTCACCCCAGACACATATCATTTCACGTTCCAGCTTATATCGCTGCATTTCTTTTTTTATTTGTTTTTCGCAAACCAATGCATCCGAGGTATCCTGGCTTAGGTCCATTTCAGTTATCGTGTTTGGAGAACTCACATGAAGTAATTCGTCCCTAACTTTTGGGCTTAATTCTTGTACTTTCTTTTTTCCTTTGTAATTCGACGTCATCGTAGACCAGGTAACACGTTTGTCGATCAAAACACGGTAGACCAAAAGAATGGATTTGTGTACAAATAAACGACGAGATTGGTACAGGTGTGGGATAATTGGCGGTTTTGTGCGTGTAATGCTTAACGAGCATAAATTTATACTTTTGGGGATAGTAATTAAGCAGAAAGTGAAGATCCTAATTCTCGAATTCAATATTTAAGGTGTGTGGTGATTTGTTTATCAGGTAAATCAACCAATTAAATTGTTGGATACTTGCACAGTACGTAAATCATGTGAGTAATACTGTATGTATCGCTGATAAAATAAAGCAATTGTTGCAATTGTTTTGGTTTTTGTCTAATGGTTTGTTGACAGTAGTAATATGGGCAATTATCTTTGAAGGCGACGTTTAAATAATACGTATACGATTTGTAAACCTTTGAAATAATTACCCGTAAAAAAAAATCCATCCAACCCATGGAATCGGAACCACTATGCCAAATGTGTTGAATCGTCATTATGCTCATATCAGATAAAACATCACCAAAAGTAAAAGGTTTGTGAATAATATCTAACATCTGATAATAATATCCAATTAATTACCATAGCTTATAAGAATTTTAATATTTTAAATAATAAGTAATGTTTATCAAAAAAAAAAAAAAGTATATAATATTTTTAAAAGAATAATTACGTATTTTATTAAATTCAAAAAAAATATCTTTAAACACCATTTCTTTATTTTTTGTATATACAGTAACAAGATATATATATATTCAAAAGGAAACAACATCTCTCAAATGCATTGTGGAGTAAATTAAATGCTAACTTGCCTACATATATTATAACTAACTAATATTAAAAAGAAATTTTAATTAATTCAAATAAATTATAAGAGTTATAAAATAAAAATCATATTTTCAAAGAAACTTCCAAATTAACTTGTTTTGTTTTTCAAAAAAATTTTTTAAAATGCTAAATATAATAAATACAAGATTTTATTGATATATATATAATATTAAAATTATATTTAAAAACTTTAACAAACCAGTATTTATACATTTTATATTAATTATCTCTTATACTATATCAATTTAATCCAATAATATAATATGTACTCTTAAAATAAATTTATATTTTTTAATAGAATCTATTTAAAAAATAAAAATTTTATCACTAGTTTTAAACTACTTTAATTTACGAATTCAGTTTAAAAGAACAAATATATCAATAGAATTGATTTTAAATATTTTTTAATTTTTTTTATCAAAGTTAAAATCAATTATAAATAATAAACATTAATGTTTAACAGAATATTCTTATTATTTTATATTATAATTACTTAAATAAAAAAAGTTATAATAAAGAATATATATTTTCTAATAAATGTATCACAAGTAATTTTTTTAATTGATATATATTATCAAATTTAAAAGTTGATTAATTAAGCAAAACATAAATTCAGAATCTCCTAATAAATATTTTAAAGATTCAATAGTTGATATTAATTATCAAATTTAGAAGCACAAATATTAAGCAAAATATAATTCTTATATATTTTAGTTCTTATTAAAAATTTTTTTATAGTTTATATATCAAGTTTTATAATATACAAATTTCTTTAAAAAAGATTTTGTTTTATATTAATATGTTTAATAAAAATTAATTAATTAAAATATAATTTAATTTTATATTCAAATATATAAATATAATTTTTCATCTAATAATTATTATAATTCTATCTAAACAATTATCATATTATAATACTTTATTGAAAAGATTATAATTTTAATATCTATTGAATCAATATATAAATAAATTTTTATAAAAAATAATATTTAACAAATTATAATATTAAATACTATATTAATTTTATTTAATTACTTTTATTTAAAATTAAACTTGTATTTTATAATCTAAATTTAAAAATATTAATTACTATACAATTGATTCATAGGTCAAATTACATATAATTATTATTTAATTATATTTAATTTTTTTAAAGAAATAGACAGTTCCCTCATATTATTTTTATTATAAATTTTAAACTTGTAAATATAAAATTTACATACCATAATATAGTATATATTTATTTTTACTAAAAAGAGTTTAATGCAAGGTTTACAATTGTGATTCACCTACTTAAATTTCTTAGCACCACTAAAAAATATAGAAAAAATAAGTTCAAAATCTATATTATACTTTGAATAATATTTAGCTATCTAAATAATTAGATTATTTAATTATATAAAGACATTACAACTCTATATATAAGTTGATCTCTAAGTTATAGCTAGAATTGACATATTTGTTTTTCAAATATGACTTGATATATAACAAATAGAATAAGAGTTGGTTCCAAGTTATACTAAATCTAAATAATATTAAAAAAAACTAATCTTTTACTATTTGTATCTAACATTTACCCTCTATTTGAATTTATTACTAGAACTAAAAACTAAAAGACTGTAATTATTTTTATCACTAAAGCAATTATTTTTATATAGTATAGATTCTCTATTTTGAAACCTATTATTAGAACTATAGGTTAAGAATAGCAATTAATTTTACTATTATAATAGTTTTAAAAAATATGTTTTGGTTTTAGAATAAGCTGAAACTAAAAAATATAGAGAAAGTTTAGATATAAAGTAGTAGTTTGTTAAGAAAAATATAAAACATATAATGGAATTGAGGTTTCTTAAAGATACTAATATCTAATTTTATATAATAAGCCTATATTATTGAAAAGATAAGCAAGAAACTTTTATTATTATTATTAGCTCATATTGTGAAAGTAATTAAAATCTCTAGTCTTTATATATTATTCTATTAAATTTTCCAATTACCAGTATAACATCTACAAACTAATCTAACTTATTATTAGTTATATTGGATTTGGCTGCCATATTACTTTGAATACAGTAAAGTACAGCTCTTTGAATGCTTTTGGATAATAATAGTTGTATATCAGTTTCTTAAATGTATCTAATCTAATTATCAACAAGTAAACAATATTGAATTTGGAAAGAATAACCATATCAATCTTTAGAAAAGGATAAACTATTTGTTCTTTTTCTATAAGGCCATGAAAGAAAAAAAAATTTGAAGCTTATATCTTGAGAGAAGTTATCACTTCTTAATATTATCTTTGAAAAAAGAAAATTAACTGACTAGAGAAGTGATGTTATAGAAAGAAATTTATTAAAAAAAGAGAGGTCTAAAAAGAAAAACTTTTAGAAAAAAAAGAATAAAATATATAAAAGAGTATATAAAAGAAATAAAAAATAAAAAAGAGAAAATAAAGAAGTATGAAAAAAAAAAGTAAAAAAGAAGAAAAAGCAAAAAAAAAGTAAACAAATCAAAAATTTTATAAAAAGGAAATTTTCAAGTATAAAAAGAGAAGTAAAAAAAGTTTTAATTATATTTAATTTTAATATTTGTATTTAATATATTTAATTAATTTATATTTTTTTTGTTTTAATTAACTAGTTGGCTCTTGCTTTTTTTTTTAAAAAAAAAACCAGAATAACTATTAATCAAACTTTTATTATAAGAAATTATTATTTTTTTTTATTATTATACATCAGTAATAATTGTCTGGCTAGAAGCTATTCCTATAACAAATATTTATATTTATTTAAAATAAGACAATACCATAATGTATTGGCACTAGTAATATTCAACTTTATTAGAATTACTCCAAATAATAATGTTTGCTATAGCTTGTTCCTAATTTATATTAGATATAGAGGCTAATCTACTGAATAAAGAAATCACTTTATTTAGTCAATAACATATATTTTTATTGATAACTAACTAAGCTTTATTTCTATTAAAAAGAATTAAAGAAAAGTTTTGAAAAGAGGCACTGGAAGTAATATCTTAATTAATAAAGCTACAAAACTATTTGCTTTATCAGAAATAAATTTTTTCACTATTACCTGCAGCTGGACTAACCATTTAATTTCTTACCTATTCAAATGATACCCAAAAATATTTAAGATACTTATAACTGATGCTTACCACTTAAATATCAACTTAAGTAACTTTACAGGGAACAGGACTTATTGCCAGATGCCTTCTTAGAATAAATACCACCAGACCAGTTTATTACTAGATTGGAATAAGACTAGGCAGAAATCTGTATAAAAGATGTCAGATATTAAAGAAAGTGATCACCAAGCCTACTTATCAAAAGCAAACATCTCATATATTGTATTTTGCAACTTCTGGTAATCATCATAATATCAACTAAACAATTATCATGCCATGATATCTTTTTTTGGAAATTACAATCTCAATATCTACTGAATCAGTATGTAAAACAGTTTTTTATAAAAAACAATACTTTTATAGATTATGGCACCAGATACTATATTAATTCTATTTAACTGCTCTCATATGAAGTTAAACTGGTATTTTGTGATTTGATCTATGGAGTATCAACTATTACACTATGGATCTACAAATCTATTTATAAAAAATTATTAATTAGTAATATTACAAATATTATAACTAATATATATTTCTCATTGTTAAAAAAAAGTTTAATGCAAAACTCAAAAAAATAACTTATCTATATTAAATTTTTTTTTTACTAACTACTTAAACAATAACAAAAGAATTGTTAAAATTTATATAATCATAAGTAATATCTAGTAAAGAATTAAAAAAAATTATAATATTCAATTATATAAAAGTACTATGATTAATATACAGATTTGTCTTCAGCTATAATTAAAATTTAATATATTTGTTTTTTAAAGTTGGCTTGATATAATTGATAGAAAAGAAAAAAAATTAATTCTTTTATGCATAAAGGTGCTATATCTACTTTTTACAAATTAGCTTTTAAGTTATATAAAAAGTTTGACATATTTATTTTTCAAGTATAACAAAAGTATTGAATAAATAGAATAATATTAAAATTTCTTTAAAATGTTATTATTTAATTATATACTGTTAGCCTGGTAAAAGTCACATGGTATAGTCATGTACCGTAACTATCGCGTTGT